AGTTTCTGTACATAAATCTCTGCTTTACTTCTTATTTCCCTCGGTTTTATAACACTCGACACAGTCGTCCATACGCGATCAACCTAATAGCATGATCGCTTATCTGGAAATCCAATTCCAGCAGTGCTGAGACTTCAAGTGGTACCATGGTGTGCACATGTGAAATACTGCGACTAGGTGCTTTGTACCTCACTCAAAGAGACCAGTTGGATGATAAGCATCATATATGCCATTGGACGCGGTACTGATGATGGGTTCGGAGCCGATAATATTATGATGTACACCATTGCAACGCGAGCGCTCGCTATCTCAAAGTAAGTAGTGACGAAGACCCAGCGATTGGATATAGCGCAAGCTAAGTCAGTCGGGTTTCTTTTTTTGCACAGCAGCGAGCGGTAATGACTCATGGCACCAGAAGACTACCGGCATTCATTGAAGTCAACTAACCGTATCGCTCCAGATCGCGACCATCAATGATGTTGGAAGACGCACATGATGCCAATCACAGAGAGCTTAGTATGCGCAGCATCATGAATCTGTGAAGAGGACATGTCCCAGAATAACCCACGGTATAAGCGCCTTGATATACGAACGATCGTCCATCTTCGTATCCATCCACTCCAAATCAAACGTCTACTGTCTCGGCTCAGAGTGTTTGTTTGATTGGTGGAGCGCATCTGTGTATATTTCTTCTAAGTCGGGCTTGCCGTGAGTGATACTCTGGACACGTCTGGCAGAACAAGCTAAAGCAATGAACAGCCAGGACCACTCACTGAACAGTGCCGGGGATCCTCCCTGCGAAATTTGAAGAACGCTGCAGTGAGGAACTCTTGCATACATTGTCTCGAAGTCGTCCGTGCATCAGGACCTCTCGTAAGTAATCCCTCAATCGCTTCTATTGACACGAATTCATGGTAAAAGTAGATAGGCTTGTTGACTCAGCCGCAACCTTAGCGTTGTTGCTGCTGCTTTGACAGCATCAGTATCTGCCAGTGATGCTGACATTGAGCATTGCCCTATCTTTTTTTTGCATAAGAGAGACTGCAACCACTGCGGTAATGGGAAATACTGCGTGAGTATGAGTATTTTGCGTCCGACGAGCCTCACTATTCGACCACCTAATCTTTCTTCCAGTCCAACTGGGACTTAATCTGCATCGTCGTCGTCGTCATCGCTATCTGCCTCTTTCAAGGACAGTGTAGGATGATTCTCCGGGTTGGTGATGAGGTCAACTGAAAGTCCTCTCCACCCAGCAGCTTGCCTGCTCTTCTTTACTGATGATGGAGATAATGGTGGGGACTTAGTTTTGCCAGTTTTTGCCGTTTTGCCAATTGCCGTTCTGCCGTTTTTTTTTGGCAGAACTCGCCCCAAAATATTTCTGCCTCCTACACTATGCAGCAGCAGCGCAACCCATAAACGTTATTTATTCTGTTCCCTCGGCCCCCTTCTGGCACACTCCGTCGGAGTACCTATAAAAGCTCAAAAAAGGGGGTATTTCACTTCGATAATGACGACCAACATGCCAAACGATCTTTATGCTGTCGCAAGTTTGAGTTCTAGTAAAATTATCATCATTCAAGAGCTCACCATTAGTCTAGATTTCTTCCTCATCCCGATCGGAACAGGACAATCTTCTGTACGTTCACAAGAAATAGGGGATGTCTTCCAAAATAACACGTTCTAGGTCGCAGAATATATTGCAGAGTGCCACAGAGTCCTGGAAAAACCAGGCCTAACATTTAAGGTGAGAATGAGTATGTGCGAGCTGTTTCGTCTAGGTCTCACCAATCTTGCTTTTAGATGCAGTAAGATCCGAGTCATTTATTTATATGTTGAACTTCTGATGACGATACATGTCTCAGCGGATATGGTACTAATCTTGGTCAGTAGCAACAGGTGGTCGACCTTTGCTTTTTGCTGACAACGCTCATCAGAGGGGCCTTGGAGCGAAGTGTCTAAAGCCATACATGATTGCCATGCTGCAGTACACGCCAAAGGTGCCCCTCGAGTTGCCACCGACATCCGCATTGGTACACGCGTAGATCGTGACACTCTCGCAGGTGATGGCAACGACCACAAGGTGAGACGTGTAGAAGAGATCCTAGCAAGAGACAGAGCAACTGCACGATGAGTCCGTGTTGCTTGATCAGTTTATTTAGGCAGGTAATCGTGTATGATTTGTTTTGGCTTCGGCTTCATGCTTTCGCATCATCTGTACAACATAGGCATGGCGACATTATGTGACGTGATTTCATACTTGACGCGATAGACATATATCGCAACAGTGACCCTATAGCGCGGTAATCTGCAACTGATCCTTCACGCACAGTGAGGACCAGCGTTCATGTAGGACGACGAAAGTATCCGCGTAGCCGTACGGAGTATCTACTAAGTGGCGGGACAGCCAACGAATAAAAGTAACAAAACCATGCGAGCGTAAACAGGAAAGCAGAAAAGTTAGATTGATAGGCAGGAAAGTAATGTGCTGGGACTATTGGCTTCGACTCGGCAGCGTTTGGCATGGCATGCAGTCGAGAATGACAATGACATATGTTCGAGGAGGCATGAACAGCCAGAACCCGTCATCTGAAGCGTTAAAAAGTGCAGCCCGATGATCTTTAGAAGCAATGTGAGCATGTAGTAGTAAGCAGACAAGTATGGATTACTTACAGCGAATGGGTCTCAAGCTAGACACCTATATGAACAAACACGATCTGCTGTTCCAGTGGAACCTTGTTGCGCCGCAATGTCTTCACAGCCTTGTGCAACGCTACCGCAGCCCGTGTGCAGTCCAATCTCCCTGAACCATCAATCAGGTGAAGGTAAAAAGCAGACGCCATCTGCCGTGCAACCTCGTCGTCAACAGACCACATCGAACCAATCACACTGCGAAATCCGGAGAATTGCATAGCCGCAGCGAGATGGATCGACTCGTCCGGACTCTTCTTATCGCCCACGGTAGTGTGACAGGCTGATAAAAACGCGAACTGCGGATTCTGCCAATCAGACCGGACGATGTCCTTGATTGTTAAAAGCCCGTCGTGCATCGCAAAGGAAGACTCAAATGTTTGTTGCTGATTCGGCATTCCATGGCAGGCAAGGTGAAGCCATTGATTCCGGCTCAATGCCTTCAATGCTCCCTCTACTGTTGCATTGCTGTCCGCAAGTGAAGTGAAAGACGCAACGGGTTTAACGTGCTGAGCGACGACGGCCAGCTCAGAAGCGACACAGCGGAGTTCCTTCCCTCTGTCCGGGTGTGCTTGACCAATGGCAACGAATTGTTGCAAGGATGCATCTTGAGAAACCTGCTGCCTCGCACGAATGAGAGTCGTCAAAGTCGGAGTGTAAGAAGATATGTAAACGTGAGACAAATTGTCTTTCTTCTTCTCGTAGGGTCCTGCTGCATGTAAAGGAAGCGGCGTGAACTCGGCGGTGGGACACCACCAGATGCGCGAGCCACGGGGAACTGCTGACTCCCTGAGAGCTTGGACCACGGGGTTGACAATGTCATCCCAAAGCTTGCGGAGGATGCCGACAAGCTCGTGTTGATGATCAGAATAACCAAATTGCTCTACAAGGGACTGAAACTCGGAGGACAATTCGGATATTTCGGTTGGTGCAATATTGAGTGGAACATGGACAGGATCTTGGGCACGCAAAATAATCAAGGCATCACAGCTGTACCGACTAGCGTTGACAATGATGACTGGACCATCTTCAGCTGCCTTCTGGAGGTCAGAAAACAGCGGAGGCAGGAGAAACCAAGAAAAGTTGGGGAGCGCGCGGATGCGTGATACGACATCATCCCATTGCTTGGTCAGTTGCCCGATTGGTTGGGACTGGTCTTCAGTAGACTGATCGAATGCATCACGAAGCTGAGAGCTAAGTCGCTTGAACTCTTCCGCCAAGGCTGCGCCGGTGTTACCTGAAAGGGAAAGTTCATCGAGTGGCGTGCGGAAGCGCGCCAACTGAGTCCAGAATACTGCACGGCCCTGCTCCACTAGTTGTACAGCAGTCGTCAAGGCACCATAACGGACACCACACGAGAAAGCATCAGTGGCAAGGGAAGAAGTGGCCTCCCTGACAACATCGAAATGACGTGGAGAAGAAGACAAAAGAGCAACATGCTGATCCAGAAAGTTCAATGCGGTCTGATAGGCAACCAATGTAGAGCCATGCTTCAGCTTCTCCACTGAGGCTACCCATGACTTGGCAGCGCTAAGATCCCCACGAGAAGCTGCATGTGATAGGCGGGAAAGTTGTAAATACAGCCTGAAAGCTTCATCAAGGTCAGACAGGACACCCCGCTGCTCGAATCTGGCAAGAAGGCCGATGGCAAGATCGTTGAGAGACCTGGATCGATCAGAATGACCGGGGGGACGGAGGAGCAGTGCGGCTCGATGGAGCTCAATGGCCTCATCAAGGTCAGACAGGACACCCCGCTGCTTGAATCTGCCTTGAAGGCTGACGGCAAGATTGTTGAGAGACACGGATCGATCAGAATGACCGGGGGGACAGAGGAGCAGTGCGGCTCGATGGAGCTCAATGGCCTCATCAAGGTCAGACAGGACACCCCGTTGCCTGAATCTGTTATGAAGGCTGGTGGCAAGATTATACAGACATGTGGATCGACGAGAATGGTCAGGAGGACATCGCTGCAAGGCCGCTCGAAACACCTTCACATCGTCTACTATGTTATTGGCGCAAGATAATAACTGCGCCATGTCACTGTGAAGGGTCTCGCAATGAGTGCAAAATTGGTAGAGTCAGAGTGAATAGTACGCACGCAGGGAGCAGAAATTCGAGCAGTGACCGCTGGCACACTGAAGATGTGCGGGGGAAACAATATAGTGAGTGCTGACAGAGCTCATAGATTCAACAGCGGGTCACAGAAGTTACAACGAGGCTCAGGCACTGTGTGAATGAGGCTCTGCTGGATCCGTTCAACTATTCTACACAATATACCATGACACCGAAATTTACAATACACACAAATATGCCGTCATTCCAGCACATATTTTCATAGTTTTTTCACTGTAGCATATAATATATCATCAAATAAAACTATTCTCGCTATTTATTATATTAGATGTATCAAGGGTGTCGATTAGTGTCGAATATTCAAATCGACACTGCCACAGGGCAGGAGGTCATTTCGAGGTTATCTACATATAAACTACCCCACTACTTCATGTCCGAACGACCACCTCCTTGCGAGTGTTCTCACCAACTATGGGGTGCCTTGAGAAGGTGAGAAGTCCAACCTCTGCACGAAGACGCATACCATTCGATTCACATTCCCAGCATTTGCGGATTAGCTATGATCAGGGCTCACGGTCAAAATATGATCATCGAAGATACATTAAGTTTCGCTGTGATGACATACGACTATCGAGTCGCGCCTAGACCTCGCTTCGTGTTCTTGATGATGGCTGTCAAAGGGGCATCAATCCCCGTGGACGAAACACTGCCAATCCTATCTCCTTCTGCCCAACCCATAGAAGCAAGCATCTTGAACCCGACATTCGTTTCTCCAATCTTTGGAGCAGCCTGCGAATGACAATGTTATACTGTGTCTTATTGAAAGGGAGGAATCACGTACCTTGCCAACTTCATCTCCATCTTTGTGTCGAGGCATTGTATCGAATCCACCTCCATGTCTCTTCATGACATTCTTAACTTTCCGTTCATCAGCGAAACGCGTCCTCGTGGCCTTGGTGAGAGTAATATATCTCCTATCTCCTTTGCCTTTGCTATGGCTCTTGAGGTTAAACGCGTTAGCAAGTTCGTGAACTTGCTTCCTCGACATCTTGTCCATCGGAGGAAGGACCATCCTATTGTTGTTCTTTCCGCCAATATCATCGATAATAAAGCGGCGAATCTGCTCCTCTAGTGAATCCATATCTACGATGGCATTCGGAATTTGACTCGGATCCAGCTGCGCAGCCTGCCCACATCGCTTTGCGCCCCTTTTTACCGCCTTTCTTTGGCGTAAAGGGATCGGCGGCGGCGAGAATGTGAGCCTCTTTGCGAGCTTGTTTGCGTTCAGCTTTCTTGGCTCGATCTTTCTCCCATATTTCTTGAAGATCATCAGGCAGTTCCTTCATCTTGTCTTTCTTGCGCTCTGGAAATCGATTTAGATAATTGCACGACACCAAATGACAAGAGCACCCACTCGCTGGCTCCATCTCTGTGTAGGTGAAGGACCCGTTTAATTCCACGTAATCGTCGAGGTGGTCAAATTGACCATTATGTATTGCCCGGAATACTTTATTGCGTAGTTTTTGGTTTTTACTGCTAGCTATATCGCTATGCATTTCAAGCAGGTCCTATGCGTAGGGAAAGTCAGCGCTCAAGGAATGCAGGAAGTGAAATCAAGACACCTCTATTTGTGCAATGTAATCATCGTCGGCATCACCTCGATTCCATCGCGGGAAATCATCACCAGACGACTCATCTGAATCGCTTTCAGGTGTTTCTGTTTCTGGCTTGGTCGCGCGCGATTTCTCGCGGACTCGATGAAGTCTACTCTGGAAATTAGCTCGGGGACTGAGGTCATCGTCAGACGAATCTTCCCCATCGTCAGAATCATCTGAGGGTGAAGGTCCACGAGGTTTCGTGTCCTCCGATTCGGCAATAAGTATCTCTTCCTCTACTTCAAACACCGCATTTTCCTCCTTGTCTTCTTCGTCGCTCGTGTCGTTATAAGACCCGTGGGAATCACTTCCGTCGTCTTCTTCTTCCTCGTCCTCCATCTTCGTCCTCTCTTCGTCCTGAATGTCATCCATCGTGACATGCCGCGATCCCTCTGCGCTCATACTCTGAACGAACCCTTTCATAGCCTCCAAATTGGGCTCAAGATCCGGGTCCAGATCCATGCCTCCCAGTCCATTAGACACTTCATCAATGCCATCCTTTTCTAGAACGTCGTCGTCGCCATCACCCCAATCAATATCAGAGTCATCCTTCCGCCTAGACTCCCATCGGACGTCCCTGCGCTCCCGTTCATCGGCGTCCCTCAATCGGGCTTCCGAGAGTATCGCGCCAAAGGACCCAAACAACGCCTGACGTTTAGCACGTTTACGCACTACTCGGGCTTCTTGTTTCCTCGCTTGCACCCTCACTTTGGAGCGATCGCCAGGAGTGAAGACGGGTCTTTGACGCTGTTTCTTTACGTTGGGAGAAGTGAAACCGAACGAAACGGAGGAGAACTGGGGGGGTTCACTGGACTGTGTGGGGATTATCTTATCATCGACTGGAGACTGAGGAAGGGAGTGATTTTGCACGGGATTGGTAGTCCCTGTCAGTACAGACCTCAAGGGTAACCGTACGCGGGGAACATCAGGAATGGGCGAAGCTCGCCCTGATCGTGGGTGCGGCGCAACATAAACAATAAGTTCGTCCTCTTCCCCAAGAGGAGCGCCAACCCAGGGGGTACGATCAAAAAGCACGATGTCACTAGCGGAGCGATGCCTGGTAGGTTCTGTATCCACGAAGAAGGTGGGGGTATCGTCTTTTGGAAGACGTGCAGGAGAAGCAGTGATTTCATTTGAGATTGATGTTGCCGGAGGCTGCGAGAATGTGATCGTCTCTGGTTTATCGACGGCTATTTCGTCATCTTGAGTTATAACCAGAGCAGCTGCTGATTTCTCTAGCGTAGTGACGCCGTGTACCGAAGTTGCGATCGTCTTACTGACGACTACATCAGTGGATACGAAGACAGGTTTTTTGGGCTTTGCATCTGTGTGCTTCGACACTGGACGGGGTGAGGGCCTGACATTGCGATTGTTCTTGTTATACATCCCAGTGAATACCTCCTCGCGTGAAGAAGAGGCGACTTGAGGGACCCGAGCACTAGTCGAAGCCTGAGCTTTACCAAGCCGAGGAAGCAGTTTACCCATATCAGCAAAATCAACCTCCTCCAACTCATCCTCAGAACGACCATCTTCTGAGGACGGACGACGATGGAGGGGGCAGATCCCTTCCACTGAATACACGAGTAACGCGATCCTGCAGTGGGAACATGGCTTTCCTCGCTTGCACCTAAACAGCCAAACATCCAGCGTTCAGGGCAAAATATCAAGGACAGAAAACACAACACATACCAGCGCTCTCAGCTACAGGCTGAAGAATCTCTTCTACCTCTCCAAACAACGTCTTCGTATGCACAGATGGCACGAATTTAATAGGTCTGAGGTACCTTGCGGAGTCGAGAGTGTTAGGTCCATTTCTGTTCTGACCACGGCCAAAGCCTGGTCGTGCTCTGCCAGTAGGAGCAGTCAAACTCTCCCCGTCCCCGTCCTCTCCCCCTAGTACCCATACCAATACCCATTCCACGCCGCGGGGTACTTCCTCCTCGTTGAGGTATCGCTGATCCCTAATTCCAGATCCACGTCCACGTCCCCCTCGACCACGCCACGGACTCCCACCTCTCGAAAAGTCTGCATAAACGTCAAGATAAGACGAAACACTTGTTGTTTCTCCTACGCACAATTCGATGGTGGTTCTTGCCAGACCTGGACCACGAAATCAGTTTCGGTGTGAGGGTAGGCTCCTCCATGTGTGTCGTTGTGAAATTGCCCACGACCTCGTCCGCGTCCGCGTCCACGACTTCCACCTCGATATTGACCTCTAGGAGAGCCTCGAAATCCACGGCCTCGATCGTTGTTGTTTCCTCTAGGCATAGGAACACAGAGAGTAACTCGTACAAGAGATATGAATACAATCGGTTGGATACAGCTAGATATGTGGATGAGTTTGAGAGGATGGGTGAATCATGCCAAAATCGGTGCCGTTAACTTTGGAGTCCCGCGGTAAAATGGTGCAGCCAATGATGTTGAATTGTTGCAGTACGTCTAATATCCATTCACATTTCAAATATATAGCACGAAACAGGAGTAAAGCAGCAAACTTATACCGACAGAGAAGAAAAAAATCTGGAATATGAACAATACCAAAGCCATGCATGCATGTACAGGAACAAGCTATGATAACAAAAACAAGCGTTCTTCAAAAAACCAAGAAACAATCCTCACTCCTAAATCTTTACACATGCATTCACTGCCTACCCATCAGTAACCTATCAAAACAACCCACAAAACCCTCACCTTAACTAGATCGCGGAGGAGGCAAATACCTCCGATCATCCCTCGGATCGGGTCTATACGCAGGCCGTCCATACATCCTCGAAGGGGGCGGCGACCTCGGCCTCGTATCCCTATCGTACGCAGCCCCATAAGGCGGTCCATCTACCCTCTCTCTCGGCGGATACTCCCTCTCAACCCCAGCAGAAGCACTACTAAACGGCGGCGGCCCCCCACGCTGCGACTCATAGAACCCACCGCTCGTCCCACTCCCAGGAGGAGGCGTCGCCGCAGAACGAGGTGGGTAATCAGCCATCCTGCGCGGTGAGTAGTAGCCACCCCCACCACCGTTATACGGCGGGTCCTCGCGTGCGCGTTTGAGAGGGGGTCGGATATCGTCTAGAGAACTGTTCGCGCCGCCTCGTCTTGGTGGGCTCGGGCTGCGGGGACGGACACCGCGGACGAACGGGGGGTCGTTTTCTGGACCTGTGTAGCGTGGACGGTCGAAGTCCCGGGGTGGATAGGAACGGTCGTCTACGGGCGGCGGGTATCCGTCTCCCAGGCGCGAGCTTAGTGGACGGGAAGAGTCTAGAGGACGGACTGGCGAACTAGCGAACGGGGCTCTGCGTTCTGGTTCACGTCCTTCCCACACAGAACCTCTGGGAGGTGGTGCGTCGCGGTCATAGCGTTCTCTCTGGGGCTCTCTATCATATGGTCTCCACACAGGCAGACGAGACTTGTCATCATCGGCAGCACCATACCAGTCACGCCGCCTATCGAACGAGTCTCGCTGATCAGCAGTCGTAAACCTTCGGTCAGAATCGGCGTCGAATGGAGCGTCCGCCCGAGGTGGTGACCGCGGAGGGTAGTAACTCCTGCCTCGAACATCCGAAGGGGGTGGAGTGTAGCGACGAGTATCCATAGCATCCGGACGCCTGTCATCACCGAACCCTCTGTCAAGGTCCGAGCGGTAAGGTGGTCTTACATCTGGTCTCTCCCTTGAGAGATCCCTTGCACGGAGATCGCGCGCATCACGATTAACTGGCGGTGAATCTTTGGGTCCACGGAGGTCATCCCGAGCGACAGATGCCGCCCGAGGTGGGGCCACATAACCACTGGGACGAGGGGGAGGAGTTGCTGGGCGTGCAAAGTTATCGTTGACAGGTGGACGAGGACGGACGTCAGCAGGAACAGCAGGACGATCACTCAAAGGCGGCACACGTGATGGTTCTTCAGGGCTAGTACGAGGAGCACGGTCATCCGAAAGAGGTCGATCAGAAGCGACGATAGGTGCATTTGACAAGCGCTCCTCCAAACTCGGTTGGTGGGTAACACGATTTTCCGCTCTTGGAGCCCCAGGCTGGCTGAGACGGTCTTGGAGAGAAGGGACTGGTTGTTGAGAAATTCTCTCTTCAAGAGGTCGAGGACGGTCAACATCCGCAGGAAGTGGTGGACGTGCATCGGCAGGAGGAAGACGAGCGGTTCTGTCATCGGGTGAAAGCGGAGGTCGAGTAGTACGATCTTCAGAACTGTGAACTGAGCCAGCAAGTGGCCTCGATGAATGACCGTCAAGGGAGACTCGTCTAGGACGATCGCGGTCATCAACAACCATACCGCGCGATTCACGGTCATCAACAGGTGGTCGCCTATCATCGATAGGCGGACGTGAACCACGATCGTCAGGGCGCAGAGAAGGGCGCCTGTCTGCATCCAGATCGTCTTTTGCATCAAAGCGGCGAGGAGTGACGTCAAAAGGGTATCGGGGCTCATAGTGGCGCTGTTCTGGGGGAGGTCTGGGAGCATGGCTCCGTCCATATGAACGACCACCATATTGAGGGCGATCTCTGTCACGATCACGTCCCCATTCACGTTCTCTCTCACGTTCTCTTTCACGTTCTCTGTCTCTGTCTTTATCAAGGAATGCTTGATCCCTTGGAGGAATTCGGGCGTCATTACCGTTAGGGCGGCTATCGAAAGGACGGGGACCGTTACGTTCCGCATCAAATCGTGACCTTCTGTCGTCCAAGGGGAAGGAATCCCGTCTTAGATCGTCTTTCCCATCGAATGTGGACTTTGTGGCTGAAGAGTCGACGGGAGGACGAGTGGTATACTCACCAGGACGGTCACCAACAGGACGAGGGGGATCATTCTTCGAGCTGTCGCGATCAGGACCAAGAGCACCATCTCGGGCGCTAACGTCGACGTTATCTGGACCCTTAGTTTCGGCTTTCAACGGGGTAGGTTCAACCTTTTTTCCAGGTTTCGGTCCTCCAGGTGGGGAAGTAGGGTCAGGAATCTAAGAAAAGTAACACGTGTGAATTGCGGAGCTTGGGGTAAGAGGACTAAAATAAGTACATTGGCGGTATTGGTTGATTTCCAAGAGTCTTTGACTACGGGTGGATCTGCAGGCCTCCTTGTCGAATCTGAAGAGTAAGGAGGGATTTGGTCGTCAGAAGAGATATCGTAACCAGAGTGATTGTAATAGTCGGCAGGAGTCTGATCTGGATGTGGCGGAACTTGAGAAGTTGGGCCCAAGTAGAGGCTAGCAAGAGCAGCGGGCTGAGGGATTGCACGATAGAACTCGTGCTGACCTTCCTTGATAGCAGTTTTTAGATTTTCAAGTACTTCAAGATCGTTTTTGCCTGGAGGTAGCATGACTTGTTGAGAAAAGAATTGCTGCTGCTGTTGTTGCTGTTGTTGTTGCTGCTGCTGCGGATGGGGTCCGTGCACTGGAGCCACATGGAAGTTGTAGGACAAGCCGAAATTTCCCGGTAACTGAAAGTTACTGTTATTGTTTGAATTGCTGTTGGTGTTGGCAGAAGAAGAAGCAACCGAGAATGGGGAAGACATTAGAGCAGGTTCTTCGCTTGGTAGAGGTACAAGGAAAGAAGTGTTTGGATCTTCTGTGAAAGTGGTGACCGTTCGTTCGCGGTTGTTCACGTTGTTTCGGCCCTTGCGCTTTTTATTTTGCCTCGCTGACATTTGGCGGTCCGATACGAAACTTTACCCAAGATTTTTTAATCCTAACAAGATCGGATTGATCAGTTTCGATCGTATCGATAATATTGAAACATGCCTTACCAACGAGGTGTAGATGGTTGTAGTCAAGAAGATAGAGAGTTGGGCACTGATTTAGACCAAAACTAGTCTTGTGACCGTCTCTTTATGAGCGCTCGCTACTGGCGTAGACGGTGACACCCTCTATAACTTATGTGACTATAAGGCTTGATCTGTCTGAACTACGACGATTTTGAGGTACGTAACGCTCCCACACAGCCGGGCAACTACGTGCACTGCAACAGCTGGCACTGCCTGGCAGTCAACGCAAGCTTATCAAAAGAGGTTATCAAGGGTATCCTAGCAATCTCTAGAAGGCGGTAATCGCCATTGGAGTGACTCTGACTTCAGCGGCGCAGACCAGATAGCTGACTGAAAAGAAAAGCATCGAACTTTGTAGAATAATGGTGAAATTTCCTAAAAGAGACATACCCTCTTCGTGTTAAAGTTTATCAACGCGCCTTGAATTTGTAAAAACACGTCTGCTCTAGCATCTTGATCTTTCTTCTTAATCATTTCCATAGACTAGTTAACATAGCAATGTCTGTCGTGGGTGTCGACTTCGGTACTCTTCACAGCAAGGTCAATACTCTATCTTCGCTTAGATCACCTGGTACTCACTTTTAATCCAAAGATCGGTGTCGCAAGAAATCGAGGTATCGATATCATTGCAAACGAAGTTTCCAATCGTGCAACTCCGTCTGCATCTTCTTTAGTGATCATTGTATCGTTCATGCTGATGCTATACTTTTTCATCTAGATCTCTCGTTGCATTCGGCCAGAAACAACGTGCTATCGGCGAATCTGCAAAAACTCAAGAGACTTCAAATTTCAAGAATACGATAGGATCTCTCAAATGTCTCATCGGTAGAACACTACAGGATCCCTGATGTTGAAGTAGAGAAGAAATTTCTCAATGCAACCCTCGTCGATGTCGGAGGAACAGTCGGCACCCAGGTTCGCTACCGATAAAAAATTAATTCATCTCATACTGATCTCCGGTATTGCAGATAATATATCGCGGTGAAAAACAGACTTTTTCTGCGACTCAGCTCGTTGCAATGTATCTCGGAAAGCTGCGTGATATCACCGCAAACGAGCTCAAGACCGCAGTCTCTGATCTCGTCATTGCCGTCCCAGGATGGTTCTCAGATATTCAGCGGAGAGCAATGATCGACGCCTGCACAGATTGCTGGTCTCAACGCTCTTCGTCTCATTAACGATACCACTGCTGTCGCTCTCGGTTACGGTATCACAAAGACTGATCTCCCCGACCCAGAAAACCCACGGCACGTCATGTTCGTTGACGTTGGCCATTCCTCCATGTCTGTCTCAGTCGTCGCATTCGCCAAAGGGCAATTAACAGTCAAAGCAGCCGCGTACGATCGCCACTTGGGTGGTCGTGATATCGACTACGCTCTCATCCAGTACTTTGCTGATCAGTTTAACGCCAAATACCACATCGACGTCCTCTCCAGCCCCAAAGCAACCTTCCGTCTCGGCGTCGGTTGCGAGAAACTGAAAAAGGTTCCTTTCAGCTAACAACGAGGCTCCCTTGAACGTCGAATCACTCATGAACGACATTGACGCCTCATCCAAGCTCAACCGTGAAACATACGAAGAGCTTATCTCAGGCGTCCTCGACCGCATCGCCGTGCCCCTCCAACAAGCCCTCGTCGAATCTGGAATTAGCATCGATGCCATCGACGCCGTCGAGCTCGTCGGTGGTACCACCCGTATCCCAGCAGTCCGCGCCCGCATCCAAGCTGCCCTCGGAGGCAAGACTCTCTTCACTACCCTCAACCAAGATGAAGCCATCGCCCGCGGCGCCACATTCGCCGCCGCATTCCAATCCCCCACCTTCCGCGTGCGCGAGTTCCACGTGCACGACATCGCTCAGTACCCCATCAAGGTGTGCTGGGAACGCGCTGCTGCGGACCCAGATGATGACAACTGAGCTCGTCGTTTTCCCCCGTGGGAATGGTATCCCGTCTACCAAGATCCTCACGTTCTACCGCAAGGAGCCGTTTGAGATCGATGCTCAGTATGTGGACCCTGCAGGCCTGCCTGGAGGTATCAACCCGTGGATCGCACGATTCACTGCAGAAGCTGTCCCGCCTTCCTCAGATGGCGACCTCACGTGCATCAAGCTAAAGACAGCGGCTGAACTTGCACGGGATCATGTCAGTTTGAGTCTGCGTACGTAGAAGAGGTGGAAGAGCGTGAGGAAGCAATGGAAGTTGATGGAGAGGCACCGAAGAAGAAGCGAGTTGTGAAGAAGAATGAGATTCCGTTCTCTACTCGCACTTCGTCGCTTGACCCTAGCGTTATCGAGAAGCTGAAAGAGCAGGAGGCGGAGATGCATGCTGCTGATAAGCTTGTCATGGACACCGAGGTTGGTCGTCTGTCTTATCAAAATCGACGCTTGCTGATGGGTGTTAATAGGACCGCAAGAACGCGCTTGAGGAATATGTCTACGACATGCGTGCCAAGCTCGACGAGCGCTACTCATCCTACGTACAGGCCTCAGAAAAAGAGAAGCTCATGGGCATGTTCCAAGAAGCCGAAGACTGGCTCTACAGCGAAGAAGGCGAAGACGCCACCAAAAGCGCCTATGTCGCTAAACTCGACACCCTCAAAGCAGTCGGCGACCCCATCGTCACGCGCTACCGCGAAGCCGAAGACCGCCCCAAAGCCATGGCCCACCTCCGCGCAGCCCTCAACGACTACATCAGCCAAGCTACCTCCTCAGACGAGAAATTCGCGCACATCTCTGAGAGCGAAAAACAAAAAGTCGTTGAAAGATGCGCGACGGTTCAAAAGTGGCTTGATGACCAGACTGCACGCCAGGCTGAGAGGCCGAAGAATGTTGATCCTGTTTTGACGAGTGCGGAGATTTTGAAGAAGAGGGAAGATGTGGTTTACTTTGCGGTTCCGATTTTGACGAAGGTGAAGCCTAAGCCTGTGAAGTCGGAGGGTACGCCTTCGGGGACGCCCAATAATGGGACGGGGACGCCGCAGAGTGGGACGCAGACGCCTGATCCTGGTGCGCAGGGGCCTTCGAAGGGGGAGGAGGAAGTTCCTGGGCCGCCGGAGATGGATGTTGATTAGAGGCTTTCGATGAACATGTTTCGAGTCGATTCGCATTTTCTCCTCTGAAAATCAGCCGTAATTGTCCGGGTTGTTTTGATTAGAACATGATGATGCGTAGAGCATATACAGTAACGCAATATAGTGTACTACTATCGTTTGACGTCTATTTTCTTTTTGTCTTGAGTCAGTCGAGTACAGTGTACACGGGTCCGTCAGTGGGCTACACTCGCGTTTCAAGGATTACTTAACATACCAATGAGTACAGCTTGTGTGTTATCATATCATGGATCGGCACTACATTTCTTAAAGAACCCATAGCAGAGTGTCTTTTTTCGCAAAGGAGTTTGCTCATGGCCAATTTGGCGATGAGAGATCGCTGGCAAGATGTTCAGTACGCAGGACACAAAGGGCCTGGTTCTTGGTCAGGTTCAGCGAGGAGCCGCCGTGAACAGTGCTCAAATAGAAACCAGTCTCTTGTTTGGCCATCTCGACGGACTCTATGCGAACAACCGAGCGAGTCGCGAGCAAGTACGACCGAACAAGAGGAGGCAAGCCACGGTCAAACCGATACAGGAAGGTGTCTGATTTGAGCGACCGCGTGTTTTGCCGAGACAAATCGCACTTGCTCAGATTCTACTGCAATCCTTTGAATTCAGCTGACATGCATTATGTCCAACCTATGAGGTTGTTTGTGTTCAGCCCTCAAGTTATTCCAAGACTAGGATGTATATTTGTTCGCCAACATGTGATGCATTCAAGTCAATATCATATTGAGCATTTAAGATTCCTCCGTTCAATGGTTTGCACCGTTCAAGCAGTCCCGACGCAACCATGCTGAATGAACTAGATATTGTGTCACCAACCACAGCACCAATGCGGAAGCAGAAACATGACTCACATTGTGTTGTGACGTGTCAATGGGGCTTCTGGCTCTGGCCCGGGATGGTTGTGCACGAACCACCGTAATACTATGAGTGTTGCGAGTTATGGAGTTAGATCCTGGATGCAAAGCAAACTGCTCACTCATACTCACCTCAGAGACAAGGCAAGTCAAGCCTTGGCAACAATCGCCGTTGGTGTTACAAGGTTCATATTCGTCGTTGCATGCACTGACAGACATGGATGCTGTCAAAGCAGCAACTAGCGGTGAGGAGGAAGGAGAAATGCATTATTTGCGAAGTGATATGGGGTGGGATCTGCCAAAAGGGTATATTGAATGATGAGGGAGGCACGGTAGGAAGTCGACTTGCTTTTATGTCCTGCACATAGGGTTGCGGGTAATCAGTTTAGCAGAATAGTTAAGCCTCACCTAGGTCCTATACTTCCCGTATTTCCTTCTTAGTAAAGAGGACAGACGGGGCTCTTCTGTCCCCTTTAGTAAGCTAGGAATTCATTCCTACAGAGCACCGCCGGTGCACACCAGTAAACTACCGTGACCTCAGCAGTAACACCACCATCAGCAAATGTGTCAGAAGCCGACAGGGCCTCGGCAGATACCGTAAGCCTGGCGTAGGGTTCCAAATGCGGCTACCGGCCTCACAGGCGTCACGCCAGGCATTGCAAGGCTCACAAATTGCTCGTAGAGGCCAGATAAGTATTTATACAAGATTTAGTAGTGACGGATGTGCCGTGAAGTATTATATACTGAAAAATACAACTCATTTGGTTATCGCAGTGTGTTTTAATACTCTCCATAGTCGCCATAGTCCTCCTCATTATCTGCAGCGCCCTCTCTGTCCTCGGCACCAAGATCAATCTCGCTATCACCATCACCATCATCTTCATTGTCATCCTCCCCATCATCCTCTATTATGCACTCCTGCAGATCTTCATACCCAAATTCACTGCACTCATCCTCTAATTCCGATCCTACATCCTCACCCGCTTCGTCATCTGAATCTTCCTCCCCATTGAGCTGATCCACAGGCTCTGGTGATTGATGATCCTCCAACTCTTCTGTGTATTCAGGCTCATCCTCCTTACCTTTGTCAGTATCACCTTGGCCAGTGGCCTCTTCATCCTTGTCCATATCAATGGAGTCCCTGCCAGTAGAACTGGCTTTGCATATCTTCATCTATGTCCTGGTCAGCATTGTGATGGGAAGCAGTCGTCCTCATTCATCGGCGATCCTGGCATGTAGAACATCCCACTACATTCACTTTCCTTCTTGAAAGGTACTGAGTTGAGGGCATCTCTATCATTGTAGAAGTTCTGTGTTGCCTCTCATGTTGCCTTATGTCCAACACTGCCACCATGAAAATGCATGAACATATCACGGTCCACAAATCTAATAAAATGTGAGTCGAGTGATGTTTTTTGAGAACAATAATACACAAACTGGTTGACATAGTACCAAGTGTAGTCAGCATTAGCCTCATGAGGCTGGTGGGCAATTGATGGAGGAAGGAGGCTTGTGGTATAGCCATGTGCAAATGCTGGGATGAGGTGGACACCATGAATGACTTGTGCGGGGTCAATAAACCCAAATACATCTACACCAACATTGTTGGTGTCATAAAAACCAATCTGGTGCAGTCGGCATGCAACCCAGCCAGACTTGTGATTTGAGTCTCAACAAAACCAGCACACCCAAAGGAAATCCACGCGCTGCGAAGCTTGGTTGCGAGAATCCGCACCAAGATATCTTACATAGACATGAAAAATTCTGACGACACGTGCATACCAGTATGGGTGAGGAGTGAGTTCACCAGGTTCACTCTGCTCATTGCCTAGAAGCATGATGTCTGCATGCATGCGTGGATTAAGGGAGTCTTGAGCTCGTCGAAGATCATATGTCATGTAGTTGACACAGAATACCTTGTGTCTATAGATCTTGTTGTTGAGGATGATGAGTGAGTTCCGCTGTCCAGGGAGTGAATGTGTGCTCGTCAGAATTATCATAACCAAGAAGTCAAGTGAGGATATGGTCCTTTAAACATGGTAAAAAGTCCTATGCAAATCAGACAGACTCACATCACAACAGAGACAAATACATACCTTGACAGTGAGGTCCTCACGGTTCTTGTGCAGCCAAGAAGTGATGTCCCAGTATTGATGGTGTGAATTGGAAATCTGATACTGGATCTCTGGGGAACATGGTGGCAATGACTCTTTTTCAGCAAAACTAACTGATGGAGAAGAATCATCTTCCTGATTTGAATGTCCTTTGGCTTGTCATGCAGCAGCCCTCTGTCAAAGCTAGTGAAGAAGCCGTTCACAGCACTGCTGTTTAGCAATACCCCAGCCAAATTTGATCTTGTTGGTGCATGCATAAAAGTGTTTCATGCGGCGATGTTCCAGCTCACCCTGTAATCAAAACTAGAGCCCTGATTCGAGAGAGACAACAGTACTGGCTCACCACTTGCGTCAAGAAATTGTCGGTAGTCCCAAACAACCAAATTGATTTCACATAGTCACCAAGCACATGTAATTTGTATGTAGACATGTTGAATAGTCGCTGTTGAGGGCCCTCAGGAGTGTTCTTGTTGCCTTTCATCACTTGTGGCACTGTTGACTTCCCCTTTGCAGAATATGCTGGTTTTCGATGTCCTCAAGCAGCAGCCTCTTAAGGTAGTTCTTGTGTTGCAAAAGAATCACATGTAAACATCTTGAAGTGATGAAAAGCTCGTCCTAGCCTGGTGGTAGAGTTGTCAAGGAAATGGAGTGTTGTTTCTGTATGCATCCAAAGCTTTCCAAGTGCCTGCCAGGTTGCAAGCTCAAAGAGTAAGTCAAGAATGACTTCATCATGGTCGTGAGGCAGTAAGCCTTCAATTACTGGGATGCCACACTGGATACAATTGTTAGATAGACGACGTACCAAAGGACAAACACACCTGCAGCAAGTCTTTGAAATCTCTCGCAGCAAGCTTGGAGAGATTTGATACATTTCGACTGAACTTTCAAATAATGTCCTGACCAAATGTTGGAACATAGTGAAATCTTCCAAATATTAGTCTTGGTATGCATAAAATGATAGAACTCACCTTGAATCAAATAGAGAAATGGTGTCTCCACCATATGCATGCATAATTTGTGACAAATGAGTGAGAGTTGCCTTCCAAACACTGAGTTCGAACTCGTGCATGAAGTTGGGCACAAACATTGAATGATAGTCAAATCCAAATTGAGAAAAACATTTAGAAAAGGTGTTCTTTAATAATTTTATTAGCCGAGTTCTTTCAATGAGAGACAATGAACTCTGAAACTTACCTGCGTCGGAACAAGTGACATTGGCCCTAGCAACTTGTCAATAACGGTACTTGCAATGTTGCGTCCTTTGGTGAATATCCAATCCCGGACTCTCTCAATGGTACTTCTGTGTGCATGATCATCTACACGTACATCCCTCTCACACCATAATCTATCCAGCTTCATCCCCAGCTCCACAATCTTGTCTTTGGGTACCAGGCACCAGGGGACAGGGGAATTTACCAAGAAATTTAATACATGTGAGCAGAATTCTGTGGTGGTTTGATTAGATGAGGTCTGATAATGGTGAGGGCACGTACTTTTCAGGATAGTCAGCTGCATATGTAAAAAATCGTGGAAATACTCTGTGGTACACGTCATCAGCAAACTGCACCACAATACCATTCTCGTATGCATCCATAAATTCCTCGTCAAGAAGAAACAGCCAAATCGTGTGCATAAGTTCTTGCTTGAGATGTGTGAGTACTGCACTTGTAGCTGCCCGCTTGTGAACTTGGTGGTAATATTCATGGAGGATATCTGGCAGCTGGAAGGTACTATATCATGAGTAAACCTTGTTGCTTAATTATCTACCACACAAACCTTTGGGATATATGCCAGATGGTGGGCAGCAAATGTGGACGGCCTATTCCTGAGATATTTAGATTGATTGCCAATGAACATGTAAATGGGCCATAGTGCGGCATGTCCAAATGAAGCAAGGTGTGTTGAGTCCAACCAAAGCATTATGGCAGCAACAACAATCTCTAGGTGACCACCAGACTCAGCATGAGGTTGTACCCTGATTTTCTCATGTTTGTCGAGCATGGGATTGGCTGTGTAAACTTCCATAATGATACATTCCGGAAATTTGTTGTCATCAGGTTGCCAGAAGAGCTTGTATGGAGTATTATGGAATGATTTCGATGCGACCTCCCTGTACACTGACTTGATAACTTCCAGCGGCTTCCGATAGTAGAGTCCATCCACAGCACATTCAGGTGCTTCAGCTTCAGATGAGTATTTCTCCTTCTCTGCTGGCAGCTTAATCTTCACGGATGCCTCATGCCACTTGTCAGAGGTAAACAGCCCTGAGTTTGGATCTTCACCCACCTGATCCATCCTCTTGGCCTCCTGAGATCCAGAGAATCCTCTGATGTCCTCACGCTGAAAATCTTCGGCAAAAATGACATCCTCCACCAAGCGGTCAAGGTCAGCAAAGGATTTAGTGGTAGACATGTTATAAAACCAACTCATGAGCTGAAATGTCGTAGCATTAAGGAAAGGAGCAAAGAAGGTGTGATTGACGGCATCAAGGGCAGACCCAAAGCCTGAAAACCAGGGCCGCTCATGCTCACTTGGGCCATCTGCCAATTTAAAAGTGCAAGAGTCGCAGACTTGATCTAATGATGACATGGTTTCTGGGTTGTATGAAGGGAAAGCTCTTCAGTATGAATGGAACACACCAAAGGTGTCCTGGTCTGTGTGTACCCACACATCTTCATCCGATTCCATGTCAGACCCAGTACCAGAACCCGGTGAGGTGGCATCAACATCAGACAGAGAGGCAGCATGATTAACGTCAGCTGCAAGTGGAGGAATGGGAATTGGGATGGGGAGAGAAGGAAGTTTGTCTCGAAAGCGTAATGGGAACTGCTGTTTGCAATTCAGAAGACCCAATGCTTGCTGTGGTGGTGAAGATGAGGGTAAACAATGCACTGGCAATTCCTAGACAGCAGTATGAATGACCTGTATCACTCTGACAAAATAAATGTTTACTTACATATGGCTCAGGATTCTCAAACTCTGGCTCGCCCGTCTCGTCATGCAAGGGAGCTTCTGACTGAGCATGCGGTGCAGGAGGAGCTTGGCACTCACGGCGAGCATTCATGATGTTATTTGAGACGTCTCTAAAGCCTTTGCACCATTGATTCTGGTGTGTTGACAGACCACGTGCTGATGTGGCAGTATAATTGCAGGCAGGGCACACAAACGACATGAGGAGGATGCAAGTGAGGAGTGCAAGGATAGTATAGGATAGTATACTTTGCAGGCATCACCTGTGCATATCCACTTGAGTCACTGCAAGCATGCAGTGAGGTGGGGAGTCAGGAGAGGCCTGACTCTTTTTATCTGAAATTGGACCTGCTACTCGATCGAATCTGCCTGTAGGTCATCACATGTAAGGTCAGTTGCGAGTTTAGATCCATGCTTATTGATGAGTGTGGCTGGTCGAATCAGATTACTAGACACGCCACATATTGCAGTAACATATCTCCGTATTATATGAGTGAACGGATGTGCATAATATCCCGTATGATACGGGCCAGCGGACCATGGGCCAAAGGTAGATATATCCTCGACTATGATGGATGGGCCAGGAGGGTTATTATTCCCGATGGAGACGGGTGGGCCCATGTAGGGAATATGTAGAGTAGATGAGTGGGCCGATGGACATGAATATTCAATAGACAGATGGGCCAAGGTAGTTGGATATTATGTAGATGGGTTTACCAAGGTAGATGTGTATCAAATAGCCGGGTATATCAAGGGTGCTTGTTATCACATAGACGGGTGGGCCCAGATATATATCATATTAGACGGGTGGACCGATGAATTAAGATTATTTTGTAGACAGGTGGGCCGAGGGAGTGGTGAAATATTTATTATATATACGGGTGGGCTGAGGGAGCGGTAAAATATTTATTATATATACGGGTGGGCCGAGAGAGCAATTTATTAGATATTATATAGATGGGTGGGCTGAGGTAGTTGGATATCACATATACGGGTGGGCCCAGATACATATCATATAGACATATGGGCCGAGGTGGTAGTATATTATATAGACGTATGGGCTGAGGTAGTAGTATATTATATAGACGG